AAAGGAAAGTCCAATGCTGCAAAGAAAAATACTGCATAGGAACCTGGAATATAAGATCTATGAACCTTGGTAAGCTGGATGTGGTCAAACAGGAGATGGCAAGTATAAACATTGACATCCTGGGCGTCAGTGAACTAAAATGGACAGGAATGGACAAATTCAATTCAGATGATTATCATATCTACTACTGTGGGCAAGAATCCCATAGAAGGAATGGAATAGCCTTCATAGTCAACAAAAGAGTAGGAAAAGCTGTAATGGGATATAATCTCAAAAATGATAGAATGATTTCATTACGAATCCAACGCAGACCTTTCAACATCATAATCCAAGTTTATGCACCAACCACCAATGCTGACGAGACTGAAATTGACCAATTTTATGAAGACTTACAACACCTTCTAGAACTGACACCAAAGAAAGATGTTCTTGTCATTGTAGGGGACTGGAATGCTAAAGCAGGGAGTCAAGAGATAAAAGGAACAACAGGAAAGTTTGGTCTTTTCAAAATGAAGCAGGGCAACGGCTAATAGAGTTTTGTCAAGGGAACAAGCTGGTCATCAAAAACACTCTTTTCCAACAACAGAAGAGGCAGCTCTACACGTGGAAATCACCAGATGGGCAATACCGAAATCAGATTGATTATATTCTCTGCAGCCAAAGATGGAGAAGTTCTATACAGTCAGGAAAAACAAGACCTGGAGCTGATTGTGGCTCTGATCATCAGCCTCTCACAGCAAAATTCAAGCTTAAACTGAAGAGAGTAGGAAAAACCACTGGTTAGGCTTCCCCTTGAGGACTGTATCCAATTCTGGACACCACAGTTCAAGAAGGATGCTAACAAATTGGAAGAAGTTCAGCGGAGGGAGACAAGGATGATCAGGGGATTGGAAACCAAGCTATATGAGGAAAGGCTGAAACTATTGGGCATGTTTAGCCTTGAGAAAATAAGATTGAGAGGTGATATGATAGCACTTTTCAAATATTTGAAAGGCTGTCATACAGAGGAGGGGCAAGATCTGTTTTTGATCATCCCAAAGTGCAGGCCACGAAACAATGGGCTCATGTTAAAGGATGCCAGATTTTTGTTGAATATCAAGAAAAACTTCCCAAGTGTTCGAGCAGTACGACAGTGGAACCAGTCACCTTGGGAGTTGGTGAGTGCCCCAGCACTGGGTGCATTCAAGAAAAACTTAGATAACCACCTGGCAGATATGCTTTGACTGTATTCCTGCATTGATCATGGGGCTGGACTTGATGGCTTTGTATGCCCCTTCCAACTTCTCTTTTCTATGATCTTATGATAATTTCATCTGAATGATTGCACTTCTTGCAGGTTTGCAATGGAGGTCTGATTAGGCAAAAAGATTTGAGATGCCATTCAAAAAGAATAATTAAATATTTAAGTACATGCATCAAATTGATTGACTTACAGCAGCCCTTTCCAGGGTTTCATAGGCACACAGTACTCAGAGGTGGTTTACCATTCCCGTTTTCTGGTGGGTGCACTGGAATTGCACAACTCTCTCAAGGCTACATATAGGCTAGTAATGCAGATACTTTGCAAACTGCAAAATATATACATCTACAGGCCCTTGTAAGTCCTTGTGCAGTTCCTTGATACTACTGGAAGATTCTGCAAGCTCATATGACAATGTGCAAAGACTGCACACAACCGTTGCCTACATACAAATATGCCAATTACTGGTGAGCAAGCACTCTCCAGTGTGTCACGTTAATGACAACACATATAACAGAGTTAAGAGAAATTACTTCTCTCGACTCCAGTTGGGCTAACTAGAGTATCTAAAGAGATGTGATTTTTTTAAAAAAGGGTACCATTTCCAAGTTCTCCCACTCACTCACACACACACACACACACACACTTAAATGAAAATGCAGAAAACATATATTTAAATGAAAATGCACCTCCACTCCTGCCATGAAACTGTGTTTTTTATTTCATCTGGCTCAATCTACTGACAGTTCCTAGATGTTACAGTAACATTGACTGAAGCTCACTGCTGCCATGATAGCTCACTGGCATGCTCTCCAGTTGACAGGCACATTTGAATGGTATCATGCTGAGCCTATTAGAAGTGGGTCTAAAACTTTGGTCTCTGCTCATAATGAACTCTAGCAGAGGCAAATTGCTGACTTTGCTGTTGTCCTGTCATGAGGCTGGAGAATGCAATCATGAGATTCAGAATGCTCAGCTGTCTCATTTTGCACCCTCACTTTTGTGAAACATGGTATAAGAAAGCAAGGATGAGTTGTTTACACTGTGAACAAGAGGAACTGCAAAGAGAAGGCGGAAGAGGAGAAGATCTGTGATACCAAGTAATTTTGATGTAACAATGTGAAGTGGTGAATGGACGGCTCAATGCATGAGGTTAAAATGTGGCGCAGAGTGCCAGCTTCTCATGTTCTTTTCTGTACTGTTTTACAATTCACCCTTACTAAACTTTTTAATGCAAACTGAACTTTTAAAATTGAAAACACATGCGCTGAAGCTTAGTAGGATTTGTTAACATTTTTTAAAAAGCAACTAATAAAGAAAATGCAGTAATACTTGTATAAATAATAACGCTGTAAGCTCAGACTTACAGTTCTGCCGTATACTGAGGAATATGGTCAGGAATTTTGCTGAGCTTTTGATTGGAGCAGTCAACTGTCGTGCCTTCACAACGGCATTTTTCAGGGCAAGCAAGGTCTGCAAAGCAATCTCCACTTAATTTTGATCTGTAATCTTCTGTGCCTATGGACAAACAGAATACAAATACTGGTGCTAAGTCTATTAAGAGAATGATGATACTATTTTCTCACAGAAGAAAAGGACGGATCTGCAAAACAGACAAATGGGTAATTTGGGTTAAGTTTTGTGGTAATGAAGAAACAGAAAGACCCAAAAGTGGGTTAAACTTCAGAGGGCTTGAAGTTTTCTGAGAGGAGGAGGGAAATCATGTGGTGGGATAACATTAACTGCTTGAGCTTTTCACAGCTGTAGTTTCTGCTGATTAAGATGTCAGCCAATCTATCTATTTTACAGTTAAGAAACAGAAAACAGCGCTACTTCTTTTCAATATAGCCCAGTTTCAAGATTAAGTAGATGGTTGTATCCCATTTCATTAACCTTGTTTATTATTCTATTTCATTGATCACAGTTCTCTACAAAATCTCTATGCTTTAAAATTTAAAGTTCTATTTTTCTTCTTTTTTTAAAAAGTGTGTAATCCTGATTTAAGCCTCAGCAGCTTGCCATGCTGTAGAAAGCTGCGTGACGTTCCATGGTGCTTGACAGAACCATGTTTTACTCATACCTCGCAACCACATGGTTAGATCAAGCACAACAGAAAATCTCGCTAAGTTATCACAACGTCATCCACTTAAGCCAAAGAGAAGAAATGGGAGGAAAAGGAAAGAGTAGGGAAGTGTTGCAGTGGGAAACTGCTTGTGACGGTAGGGCATTCCTCTTACAGAATGTCCACCATCACTGCAATGTTCCTTATCTAGAAATAAACCATTAGCAGAAGGAAAGAAAAGGATATATCTTCACCATTCTTCTCAAGTTACAGAATGAAGATAATGGCCTAGATAGATCAGAAGAAACATGTAGTAAATGCTTGAGGGTAGATGATAGGATGGTGGAGGGAGAAAGAAACTCAAATGTACAGGGAGTTCTTCTTGGAAAAAAGGTGCAAAGACTGTGAATAAGAAGTGGAAAGTGCAGCAGGACTGGGAAGTATACTGTTTAGTTCACACAATGAACTCTACTTACAGCCCAAATGGTGAACTCCTGAAAGAGGAAAGACAGCCAAGGAGGAAAGAAAAACAGAGTGATCCCAATGGCAAACAAAACAAAATGCACCCAGAAACAACAAAGCATCTTGTTACTTATTACCTAGGCATTATAGGGCAATATCCTGCCTTCACTGAGATCATTTTGTAAGTCCCCTGGAGAATTAAAAAGGGTTGGGTTTTAATAGACATTTTGTTGATTATGTGAAATTTTGACACTGTCCAGTGAGAGACAGAGGAAAATTAATTTAAAGTGGCGCAGTACAGTAGAGTACACCATAGTTTCTCTATTGTGGACCTTTGCACTATATTACTCGTATGCATAAAAATATTACTCCTCTAAGACAGCGATCTCCAAGCTTTTCAGTATGAGGGCCACATCATATATTTTACACATTTTCAAGGGCCGAAGGAGGGAAGGGAGACCCAAGTGATACCCCACCCCCCGTGACTTTGCAAAGACAGCAGGGGTGGGGAAATCGCTTTTATTAGGCTTCACTCCTTTTCCTATCTCCAATCGGGCATAGGAAGAGGGAAGGGGGACCCAAGCGATCCCCTTTCCTATGTCCAAGCGTGGATAGAAAGAGGAGTGAAGCCTGACAGTAGCAATCCCCCACTCCCGCTGTCTTTGTAAAGACAGTGGGGGTGGGGGATCGCTTGGGTCCCCCTTCCCTCCTCTTCCTATACCTGGGCTGAATAAAAAGGCAAGGCGGGACAGATGTGGCCCACGGGTTTGGAGACCCCTGCTCTAAGACATTGTTAATGAACTTTAAGGTACCTTGGGAAAACTTTCACAATTATCTGACAAACAATTTAGTAAATATAATTAAATAATGCTTGGCTCGGGCTGTTCTAGTGCATTATATTTTGTGTCCAAAAAGTGCATTGGTTATTGTTAGGACCCATCAAATGGCTCGCAACTCATGGTGGCTTTAATAGGGTAAGGCATATAAGTCATTTAAGACATTGTTACCCTCCACTGATTTTCCAATTGCAAACCTAGAGATTTCAAACCATGTCTTCTGAGTCTCACTCTAATTAGTGCCAATTCTATCAATATACATTGAGTTATTCACTTTCTTGTTAAAACTAACCTACAATTTTCAAATATTATTCAGGAACAAAATACTTTTAATATAGGTTAGAATTATGAATTATTTCAATATCTGCCTTTCAAATACCACTTTGGATAGACATTGTAAATGATGTCTTGTTGAAGGGAGGTAGCTGCTAACTGAGGGCTGAATGAAAAGTACTTAGCTCTGATTTCTGGGAATGTGAATTTCTAGATCTTTGAGGTGTGTCATTCTGTTTATTCTTTTCACATTATATTTTATCCCACTATATGCAAATAAATGAAAACAATGCTTTTTTATACTTCTAGTATGCAATTTACTTTTCTGACTGACCTCTATTGATTGTTTATGGTAATAATTTTATTTACTTATTTATTAGACTTTTATCCCACCCTTCTAGACAATGTCTACTCAGGGGGGTATTTGTATAACACAGTATAATTTGTATACAAATAGTATTTGTTATAACCAATAATGGCAAATAACCAGCCTTTTCTACTTTTACCTCTGTATTAGAGATGGGGCTATTCGTATTTGAATACGAATATCCCTGCACAGCTGGACTCAATGAGGGTCTGGCCCGTAGGGCCAGATCATCCACTCATGCATCCACCGGCGGCAGCAGCCCCACTCATCCTTCCAATCGCTTCCGGAGCAAAGCTCTCTTCCTGCTGGCCTGGCCACTCAGCTGCCATGCAAGGGGATTCATCTTCCCCCCTCCTGCTTAGAGTGGCTAGCTAAGTGGGAGGAGAGTGGTACTCCGGGAGCGATTGGAAAGATGAGCAGGGCCGCTGCCACCGGATGTGTGAGTGGACGGTCCGGCCCCCGGGGAAAACCCCCAATTCTACTCTGTATTTAACCAGAGCATTAAAAGAGTGATCTGAAAATGCTTCACATGACCAGTCTAGATAAAAGAAAAGGTAGCACTTGACAGTAAAAGCAGCTTGAGTTACTAAATCCCACTTAAACAGCTGCAGCCAAAACCAATAGATAAATTAGCATGCAGAACACTGCAGGCTGTTCATATACCTGTAAGTGTTTAAAATAAAAGTTTCATTGATTACACTCTCGTCCAGTAGAATTCCCCAACCACCACAATAAAACAGAATAGAAATTTTCTCCTGGGAATTCATGCATCTGCCATTCACCCAAAAGCTCTTTTACCGACCTTTGAGCACTTTTGCCAATTAATTATTTCTCAACTGTTTGGGATAGTATATAGCACAATAAATAACTGTATTGGCTAGGATTTTTTTCTATCAAGAAAGCACTGGACTCATTTCTCAGCTGCAGGAGAAAGAAAGAAAAAGGATATACGTTTCTGTGAGTTAGAGCTAGTATTAATCATTAATGTACAATAAGTCAAGAGAATTAGCATTCAGCTGAAAGCAAAGTATAAGTATACTAATCCTTTATTCATTGTTTTGCTTTCATTGAAACATATTTTGCACAAGTCTCCTGCACAGCCTTTGGATGCCTATGCAAAGAACTAAACATACTTTTGCTTTGGCATTTTTGTGATTTCACAAACACAGGGATCAAAGGTCATAGGTGAGCAAACTGCAGTTCAGACAGTCAGCAGGAAGCCAACAGTTTAGAGTAGAGTGCATAGAAGCAAAGCAGCAAAGTACTTCTTTTGAAGAGGACTTTAGGTTCTTTTAGTGCTTTGATCACAACAGAATTCTCCTCATTTAAAAACAGCTAAATAGCTATACTTAAAGAAAAGAGGTGTGAATAGTAAGCAGAATATGCAAGATTAGTACTGATACATCCACCATAAAACAGATGGTGAAGCCTAGCAAGAGTGAAGAAGTCCCATCACAGACATTTCTGTACTCACTTCTAACAAGAGCTGCATGCGAAGCCCACAGACTGGGAAAATGAAATTAAAAAACTGTTACTAAGCTAAGAGGTTTTCACTAGGGTTAAAATGCATGCATCAGATTTTTTTACCAGTTAAAACAAAAATATGCTTTTGTTGAGGGAGAAAAACAGGTCTGCAGTTAGTCAAATTTACTGCTGCAAAGCCAAACCTACCTGGAATGAAATACTGTTCTTTAGCTAAATAAAAAAGAGAGGGGAAAAAATAGAATATGCACCTGAATGTCAGCAAGCAAAGAATTAATTCTATTAGATTGAGTATGGGCTATCGTTAAATACAGGTAATTGTGAGGAAAAAATGTGTATTGATACAGTACAGTTATAAGTATATCTGCAGCCAAGATCAATTGTTCTGTTCCAGTATTTACACTAAGGACAGAGTTAATGGCAGAATATGAAATGCACCTGGAGCAGCTGGACACCAGATGACAGAAGTTAGGCTTTAGAAACAAGTAAGTAGGAAATGGAATAAGATTAGAAAAAGCAAGCTGTACATTTCAGCATTATATAAGCTTCCCTGTTTAATATGAATGTCATGTTTTAACATTCTGTGGGTAGATTATATTTTCAAGAATTGTACTCATATCCCAGACATATTTCTTCCTTCTTGTTTTTAAAAAGTAACGGACAAGAGGGAATACTTCAGAACCGTATGACTTAAACAAAAAGCACCATATATTTCATTTCTTTTCACATATTTTGTGTCTTGCAGAGGCACTCGCAAGTGTGTTAACTACAGGAATGTTCCATGATCAAACAGCCTCAGTCCAGTGTTGTCATGATTGCTAAATAATTCAGTCAGAAACCAGGGTGCTTTTTTGGGTTAATGATGTCTGTAACTGCTGCGGGTGGGAGTTTGGAGGAGGGGTTGCTAGTTTTTCGGGAAGTGAAAAGAAAGTAGCAGCTGAGCTAAGGAAATTACCTGAACAGCGAAATTTCTTGCTTTTGATCTGGCCAATCCTTTTGTTTGCTAGACGGCGGGGGCTGGTGCAGCGAGCGCCGCTGGTTTCAATGGGGTTTGTATGGAGATAATCCGCCAGCCACTTCAGATGGCAGTCACAAATAAATGGATTCTGAGCCAAATGCCTTTCAGAAATAAAAAGAAAGACGGTTCTTACATGTTTGTGGTTGGTCTCTGCTGTTCCCAAAGTTTCCCAAGTCTGTTTGAGAACAGAAGCAAAAAGCCTGAAGCACAGAACAACAAATGGACAGTTCTAATACATACAGGGTTTGAATAGCTCGTAGTGGGGAAAAGGTGCCCTTCGCAATGGTTTGAAGCTTATTATCATACAGAGAGAGAAGGTTCAAGTTGTGCAGGTCTTGGAAAGCATCTACTCGCAGACAGTTGATCTTGTTTGCATTTAACAATCTGTAAAACCAAAGATAATTACAAAACAGAATAACAGTTAGTTTACTCTTATTAAACTAAGTGGTTTCACAAGCTTTACTTCAGCTAGGTTTCTTTCCTTTTTAAAAAGAATTTCACATAATATACCTAATCAACTCAGGTGCCACATTTCTGCACTTGTGATATAACTAGTTCCTTAAAATAAATAAAATTTAAGGAAAAATGCTCATACATCAGGGTGTTTAAAATATAAAGCCAAAAAAATTAGCTAGGAAGCCACTGGTTGTATTCAGTTTACTTTAAAAAAAATACACAGACCCAAAGCCCCAGTGAGCCCTTTCCTTCCACCACTGCAGGCAAAATAAGACTTTTCTGCTTGCATTTCAAATTTCTGTTTGCAATGTAGTATCCCAGTTGAACTCCAAACTGTAGTCTTAACCATGATAAATTGCAACATTATGGCTTCCCAATGGTTTGAAGTATATGGTGCAATCCTTAGGGTTCTGATGTAAGGGTTGGGTGGTTTCGGGTCAGGAAATTACACTGCAACTCAGACAACACTCTTTAGCATGATTAAGCTATTTCAATTTAAAAGGAAATATTGTTTCCTTTGAAAGGGAAAGACTTCTGAAGACTGTTAAGGCCGTCCCTTTAGAAAAACTGCTTAACCGAACACTTCCTTGGAGTGCAGGGCCTTTCTTTCTAATTGTTGCTTATCAGGGATAATTTCTAAGGTTTTTGTTTTGTTTTTTGTTTTAAACTTGCTGTCAAAGCACTGCTGATTCACTATGCCGGTTAGCAAACATTACAAGCAATGGGACACTTCTGTCTTGGTTCCTTCCCACAAACTAAGAAGATTTACAGAAATCTTCCTATTTCTTAAAATTGTTAAGCAGCAGTATAGGAAGCTTTCCCTTCTAAATCTTCCTAGCCTTTGAAAAAGAATTGAGAAGTAGCCCATTATTTTAAATATCTGCTAATCAGCAATGCTTTGACAGAAGTTACCCCCCAAAAAAGCCTCTCACAACATCACTAATAACCTTAGCAACTATTGAAAAGAAATGCCCTGTCCTCCTAAGGAGAGTTCAAAGGAAATGCCAATTAAATTGCTTCTCCAAAAGGACAGCTGGGCAGAGACTTTGGGGTGATTCAAGAGATTGCACGTGATCAAACTGAAACAAAATGGAGCGAACCTGTCCACATCTAAGAAACAGTGGCCCCTGAAAGAGACCTAGAAAAGTGCAGGTAGGGGATGGGCTGGTTAAGTCTACTAAAAGTGCTATCTGATCATTAGAAGCAAACCAGACCATCCCTGCAGCAGACTCAGCAGTAGGCTACATGCTTGTGTAGTCAACCACATAGTCTAGAACAGCAATGAAAGTTTCCAAACTCTTGCTGTAGCAACAGTAGAGAAGAGGGAGAGTATAAACGTGATGGTTGGTATGCCTAATTCTCATAATGATATAGATAAGGATAAATATGTCCAAAACAGATCACTGTGGAAATGCTATAAATTCCCCTCTGGACAGTAGGCAACTTTCAGTCTTGAGAGGCTATGGTAACGTGCTTTGAATAGAGGTCTTGGAACACCATCTATTGTGGCTGAGAAGGCCAATTTGTGAGTGACAATCCCTTGATAAATACAATCTTTCCCCTGTACAGCTCCCTCATTTTCCTGGTTTTGGGACTGCCTCTTTGCATCTGCCTGCTGGACAAATGTCTCTTCAAAATGGGAGAGGCCATCTGAGTGTTCAGCCTGCCTCTGAACACTCAAATGTCCAGGTTTCCTATCTGTTGAAGTCTATTCCTAAGGCCTTCAGATCTCACTTGCAGATATCCTTGTATTGTAGCTGTGGGGAGGTTTCCGTGCACGAATTCTCCATGCAGGAGACCTTTCGGAATCCAACCATCAGCCATTTTGACCACATGCCTGAGCCAACGCAGATGTTGTTTCAGAAATGTATACATGCTAACAATTCCAGCTCGTTCGAGGACTACTCTAGGATGCATTTCAGCTGGACTTTGGTCTTCGCTCTCAATCTAGAGAGATTAACAAGCTTTCAATTTGATCTAGTCCGGAGATAGACACATTCTGTTGCACTTCCAAAAGCGTGCTTCAGCATGACAGCAAAAAAGATCTCAAACAGAGTTGGCATGAGGACACAGCCCTGTTTCATTCCGCTTCGGATGTCAAAGGGATCTGATGTTGAGCCATCAAAAACTACAGTGGCCTTCATTTCCTCATGAAATGATCTGATGAGGTTAAGGAGTCAAGGTGGACATCCAATCTAGGGAAGTATTTTAAAAAGGCCGTCACTGCTAACAAAATCAAAGGCCTTTGTAAGATCTATGAAGGCCACAAAGAGTGGCTGCTGCTGTTCCCTACATTTCTCCTGCAACTGTCTGAGGGAAAATACCAGGCTTTCACGCGAATTGAGTCCAGTGTTGCTCCTATTTGGAGATGGTCTGAGATGGTATCAGGCTGGACTTATTCTTGTTGATTTTTAACTCGAGTCTCTTTAGGGTGTAGAGGGTGAAGATTGTGGCAGAGACTGCCTCGTGGTAGGATTTTGCCACTAGGAGCCAGTCATCTATATAGGGAATTTTTTATCCCCTTGGTACGGAGGTATGTCACGACCGGTGCCATGTATTTTGTGAATGTCCTGGGGGCTGTGGAGAGCCTGAATGGGAGAGCGGTGAATTGATAGGTATTGTGGTAGAACCGGAACCAAGGAATTTTTGATGGGTGGATGGAGATGTGGAAGTAGGCGACCTGTAAATCTATGGTGACAAACCAGTTTCCCTGAGACAAAAGAGGGAGAATGGAGTCAAGAGTCAGCATATGGAATTTCTTGTAGAAGATGTATTGGTTGAGGTCTCTGAGGTTCATGATGGGCCTTATGCTGCCATCTTTCTTGGGGACTGCAAAGTAGCATGAGAAGAAATCCTCGCTGGAGTCAGAGGATGGTACTCTGGTTATGGCCTCCTTGGATAGGAGTGCTGAGATTTCCAAATGCAGTGGCATGGAAAAGGGAGTTGTTTTGACTGAGTTTGATGGCTGGGGTTCTGAAAATTCGATCAGATAGCCCTTTTCAATGATATTAAGGACCCACTTGTCGGTAGCGATGGTTTGCCATTCTTGGAGGAATGGGAACAGTCTGGTGGTGCAAAAAGAATTAGGAGAGATGCTTACCCCTGTGCTGAGTCTTGCGAAAGGACTGCTTGGGGCTGCGAAAGTGTTGCTGCTTGAACAGCGGAGTGGTGGACTGTTGAGTCTGATAAGTCCGGTCCTGCTGTTGTTTGCTGTACCAAAAGGGTTGGCACTGAGTGGAAGATTGGCACTGAGGATTATTGTATGCCTGTTTCTGGTACCTATACGGTTGGTATGGTACATAAAACTTCGCTGTCTTTCTCATTTTATGGATATTTTCCATGATTTCATCAGTCTTGGAATTGAATAGTCCAATCGCGTCGAAGGGTAGATCCTCAATTTTTGTTTTAGTGTCATCGAGGATATTGGCGGTTCTGAGCCATGCATGGCATCTGACAGCTATCACCCTTAACATGGATTTAGAGGCAGTGTCTGCCTTGTGTTTTGCAGCAAATCTCTGTTGTCTGACCAGGGTATTAGCCTCTTCGTAAACACTGAGAGCTTCTGTTTTAGAAGGATCAGGTAAAGTTTGTACCATAGGGATTATTTTGTCCCAAAGATGCTTTTGGTAGCTCCCATGGCCGCTGGATAGTTGGCTATTGTGATCAAAAGGGCAGCGGAGGCATAAAGCTTCTTGCCCAAATTGTCCTATTTCCTAACCTCTTTATCAATGGGTGTAGCTGACGATTGGGTACGAGATCTGTATTGAGTGGCTTCAACCACGATGGAGTTGGGTGATGGATGATTAGTGAGGAATTCAGAGTCTGACCCATAAGTTTTATAGTGATGCTCTATTTTGCAAGGGACTTGAGCCATCAAGGGTGATTTGCCCCATGAAGTTTTAATCAGTTCGAAGAGGGCTGGAATAAGGCTTAGACTAGGAGGGGAGGCTTTGTCCTGCTCGTGTTGGACTAAGTCCTTTTCATGTTGCGGGATCTGGTACAATGTGGATCACAGACTACTTTACCAGATCTGTGCCACAAGATTACACTGTGAATTAACTCCTATTACTGAATGAAGTGGAACTGGAGCAGAATACCAGGAGTACTTTGTCATGGCCCTCTCCACCTTTAAGTATATACAGGAATATATAGGGTTTTTTTTCCAGAATGGTAAAAAAACTTCTCTTGAAATGGTATTATTACACAAAAAGTATATGAATGAAATAGGCAAAATGCTAACTCTGATTGAATGGGAAATAATGCATTTTAGGGCCCGAGCACATCAGTCAAAATTTCCCTATTTATATCCCAGCTAGATTGTAACACAAATTTCTGGCTGTGTAACTGGGAAACATTTCCCTCTCATTGGAGGGTTGTGTTGTTTTGTTCCCATGATGTGTTGAAACATTCCTTACCAGTATCACATGTGTAAACATCAGTCCCTCTGGGGAAAACAGAGGAGAGTGGCCAGGACCAAGGCACCACCTCAAAGAACGGGGCTTGCGCTGTGGGATTTGGTTCAGGGATGGTGGTTGGAGTATGCCCAGCCTTTCTCAGCTGTGGAAAGTAAGGAAACTGAGAACAGAGAGAGTGACCAGGATCAAGGTGCCACCTTCAAGAAGTGCACCCATTCTGTAGGGCTCAGCACAGGGATGATAGGTATGCCTGACTTTTGATGGTGGAGGTAGCTAGGTAGGGAAACAGAAGGGAGAGCAGTCAGGACCTAGGCACCATCTTGAAGAAGTGCACCTGCCCTGCAGGGCTTGGTGAATGGGTGGCGATAGGTATGTCCAGTCCTTGCCAGTGGACAGAGGGAGGGAAACGGACAAGGAAAGGTGCCCAGGACCAAGGTACCACTTCAAAGAAGTGCAAAGAAATCAAGGGTTAGGGGCTTTAGCCCTAAAGAAATGTCTATGAAGGGCTGCACTGCACCAGGAAACAAGAGAGGAAATAAATTGGTCCCATGGTTTAGCCAGCCATAATGTTATAAAGAGGAAGAAATGAATTAGTAACATTAAAATAAATAGGAATGTTTGCTCCAGTATATATACACTGTGACAGTGATTCTGTGTGTGTGTGTGTGTGTGTGTGTGTGTTTAAATCACCACATTCAGTTCACCAAACACTTTATTGCTGTTGGATGCCCTTTCCATCCTATGCTGTTGCTTCCTCATAGTCTCCAGTCTCATTTGCCCACATTGTTGTTTAACCTGATATGCAAATTTTGTCTCCATGATTCATTATATCAGATGTAGCACTGTTACACTACTAATAAAGTCACACAATAAGTGGCTGTGCAGGCAAATGAGACCAAATACTGTGAGGACAAAAAAAGATGGAAAATGGCAATGAAAAAGGCAGAAAGGGGGCGGGGGGGGGAAGCCAGGAATGTTCTTGCTATAAACATGTGCCAAGTGTGCTGTCAAAATAGCCTAAATATTATAACTAGAGATGAGGGTATTCATATTCATATATGACTATAAATACCCCCACACAGCTGGACATAATGAGGTGCCAGACCCTTGGGCCAGACCGTCCACTCATGTGTCCACTGCCTGCTCTGTTCTCCCTCGCAATTGCTCTGGAACTCCTGGTCAGCTAGCCACTCCTGGCAGAAGGAGGGAAGATGAGTCTCTGTGAAAGGCTGACGAGTGGATAGCGGACCAGGAACTCCAGACTGATTGGAAAGGACAGCAGAGCCAGTGGCAGCGGTGGACACATGAGTGGACCTTTGTTACATCCAAATGCTATATCCATCCCTAATTATAACCAAGTAAGTTGATCCACTTGAAATAAATCAGAAAGGATGGAAAAACATATGAAAGGAGTCCTTTTACACAGCATAAAAATCAACAGATCAGCTTTCCGAATTCTCCAAGTATATGTATATGTGCATATGTATATGTATATATGGAAACAACTAACCAAAGCAGGGGAAAAAATCAATGTTTAACACTTAAAAAAAACAAAAATAAATCCATGCAAGAAATATATTTAAGAAAGAAGTTCACTTATTGGGGATGAGAAGTGACAAGAATACTACTATGCATGAAAAGATAATAAAAAGCTTCATGTTCAAAAGATTTACATTCCCTGGTACGAAATGTTTCTTTACTCTCTGATATAAGCCATATTTAATCCAAAAAATCCTTTCTCAGTGAACAACGTTATGGTCAGATTTTGATAAATAAACACTCACAGCAATTGCAGAGAGAAAAGCCCTTCAAAAAGGCCTTTGGGAAGTTCTGTGATTTTGTTTCCATAGAGAACCCTGTAAAAATAAACCAGAAGAGTGATTGTTCGGAGAAACAAATCAATTTATTTAGAGTTCCTCTAAAACCACATGCCATTGACTCATGTATAACAAAGACACCAGAGCTGGAACACAGAATTATACTCTAAACAGCACTACTATATCAGCTAGTTCTCTACAACCAGTAGTTTTCCACAGTGGCATTCATGTTAATCTCCTTTTGTTTTGCATTGTTCTAGTCAATTCCAATTAAGGCACCACAATCTTTTTATTGGTATTTTCTAAACAATGTAATTAGTACCCAACTAAGCTTTATAGGAGCATACAAAATGCTTTGCAAAAATGGATCTCTGCAAGATAATAAAAATAAAAATAAACTGTGCAATAGATAGATCAGAACAAATGTGTTTACAATACTTAAATTGCTTTGCAAAGATGAACATACATGAACAGCTCTTAGATTTTCACATCAAAAAATAGCAACATAATTGTCTACAGGACTTTACCTCTTGGTTTCTCCTTTTACACCAGGCTAGGTATAAAATAGCAATAGAATAATGCAACTCAAACTGGTCATGCACAACGTATGACTGAACAAACTATCTCACCAGCAATTAAAAGCAAGTCAATAAGGGCTCAGTAAACATCCCACATGCTGCCAGATTATAATCTAATATAGGGAGAATGCAGTAACATTTAATGGGTGCAACCCTGTTAATAATTTCTCCAATTTCACTCATGTGCTGCATGGAGAGAATCCCTGTCCTGCCTCCCCTTGGAGTGGTAGACTGCTGGAGAAGGCAGGGAGGGGGAGCCCAAGTTCCTGCCCAGATTGGAGTGCTGGTGGAGAAGAAGGACCCCGACAGTGTGTGACACAATGAAGTTCAATGTATTCGTGAAGGCTTTCACGGCCAGGATCTAATGGTTGTTGTGGGTTTTTTTGGGCTCTTTGGCCGTGTTCTGAAGGTTGTTCTTCCTAATGTTTCGCCAGTCTCTGTGGCCGGCATCTTCAGAGGACTGGAGTAGCACAGAGACTGGTGAAACGTTAGGAAGAACAACCTTCAGAACATGGCCAAAGAGCCCGAAAAACCCACAACAACAATGAAGTTCGGTGGCACGGACCAAATTAATTTGAACCCATCTCTAGTACGAACAGATATTCAAAGATTTCTATAAGGCAGTAACAAAATTTGGCAAATGGCAGACATGTACAGAAATTTCGCAATCCACTATGCATCCAAACACTGGGCATACAGGTCAGGAGCAATCTACTATCTAAGTGATATTCTGATGTGCTCTGTCCAAAATCTGTGACATTCTCTGTTTCTTGTCCTTCATAAAAAGAAAGCATTACTGGAAAGGGGCTTGGGCAAATGGGTGTGACAGGTTTGGGGGAATGTATGCATTCATTTCTGGAACACAGCAGATCTTAATATTATGGTCAAAATCCCAGCAGGCAGTGCTTGGCATCTGCACCATAAAGTGAAAAAAGAGAAGAAAGAAAAAGTTGGGGAGGATGAAAGACAGAACTCATTATGTGACCTACTCAATCAAAGAAGCATTCATCATTCCACAAGAATTCACACACTAAATCCTAACGGTGCAATAGTATTTCAGTAAAGTTTGGTAAATTAAATTGAGAAACAGAAGAAAACTGACCCAGAGGGCAAAAAGGCAGTGACAAGTCTTTCACTTTGCCTTGCAGATTTACAAATGGGCTTCAATTGCCACTGCAAGAGAGTACGTAATGCATCTCATCTGTTGTTAAATAGTCATCTCATCTGAGCTATCTCCAGTGCTTCTGTGGCTGGAGGCTCTAAGGAAGCCTTTGGGCTTTGGGTGGAAGGAAAAGATGTCTCCTTTCATGCGCATTTGCCTACCATGGCAGGGATTCAGATTATCCTCAAGAATGTCCAGTTTTCTCAAACCAGATTAAAGACCAACTTTTTAACCCTATGAAAGCCAATGGAGCAAAAAGCACCTGTTGAGTTGTTGCTCTGTTTCAGGAGTGAATAGCAGCTTTTAGTTCTGCCCAGGTCTTTTCCCGCAAATAGAACAAATACCCTGTTGTTGGCACATATGTCTATTAAATGGACATGTATATTAAATGGAATGCTATGTAAAGGGTTAACCGTTAAGACCATATATTTTACTCTGTTTATCCAATTAGTTTACTCAAAAGAAAACTTACTCCCACATGGAGTATGTGAAATATTTAGTTAAATCCCAATGGTAGGCTAGATACACAAATGACATGGACAATTCTGTACCTAGCCTACTGTAACAGTTGAATTAGTGTCCTCAGAAACTGCTCCCAGTATGGTAATCCTGTTGTAGCAAGAATTGGCATGAAAGGAAAACAAAGGTATGAACTGCTCATGGACAAAATGCCACAGCCTGTCCTGGATATTAAAGAGTTTATTATGTTTTTTAAAAAAATAATATTTTACCCTTACTTTCTACTTAATTAAGAAGGACCCAGCATGGCTTACATAATTCAAAGGCAATATTTAAAGCTTTAAAAACAGTAAGTACACAAATGCTGGAAAGGATCAAACAAATAACACACTAAAATATGGGATACTGAAACAACATCAAAGCACATATAAAACAGTAAGGCACAACACAGATTTAAGAAATCCACTCAGGCAACCAGCCATTAGAGGAAAGATTGCTTAAAGAGAAAGGTCTTTGTCTGCTTGTGGAAGGACAACAAAGATGGGACCAGATTGGCTTCCTGTGGCAGTAAGTTCCAAGGTCTGGGTGCAGCAACAGAGAAGGTCCCCTCTTGTGTCCCCAGCAAACACACCTGATGATCTTAACAGCTGGGCAACCTCATGAAGGGAGACAAAGTCCTTCAGATATTTGGGCCCATAGAACCAGTACTTTGAATTATGCCTAGAAATGGACTGGTGGAAACCAGTGGGGCTGCCATAACAAGGTGATTATATGATCACAGTGACCAGTCCCAGTTAGCAATAAGCCAGCCACGTTTTGGACTCACTGGGTTTTCCGAACAATTCCAAAGGAAGCCACATGTACAGCATGACACAGTAACCAGTTTTGCTTTGATGATACTATAAACAACAATATCTGCCATGAACTTTCCCCTTTAATTATATCATCTTGAATAAAAAAGTATTTGTGGCATTTCTCCTAGGAATGGGACTCTCCCCAATTTCTTGAAATGGAACTATTTCCATTTCAGACCCTCAGCATCATCTAGCATTTTCTGGAGTTTCTAAATTACTCAAAATAAAACTACAGTTCCAATGTAATTTAACTCTTATTCCGCCTTCTTCCTACAGCTAGGAGCACACTAAGCATTTAGGAGCCTTGTGCCATTGTAGAACAACACTGTTGTATTTTGGAAGCTTGTCCAAGAAGGGAAGTATACTGATTCTGTTTACCTGCTGTGTCTATTTACCTGATGCATATCCAATAAATTAACATTATTCTTTCATGCCTAAAGCTTGGTTTCTTCCCAAATGCTTTAGAATTTGAATGACTGAAGCTTTGACTATAGTAAACTGTCAGTTTTAATTCACCCACGCTTCTTTAATTCTCTTCTGAGGAATACAAGATTGGCCCATTCCCTCTTGTCCTTCTACCAGCAGGCAAATACCTTTTTACTCCAGTAAGCTTTTTGTAACTGACTGAGTTTTGAGGAAAGTGTCTTTAAAACTGATGCTGTACTCTTCCACTTCCTTTTTTAACCGATTTTAAAATGTTTTAATTAAAGTGTTTTAACATTATAGCTTAATTGGTTCTTTTAACATTATACCGTCAGCTAGGATCACTCTCCACGTGAGGAAAGCACAGGAGGAGAGGAGCTTCTTTACTACAAATATTTACAAATACCAACCTAGAGTGCACAACTTTGCTCCTTCTACTTCCCTGTACAAGGACTGGGAGTAGGAGTATCAGGATCTCAGCCATTACTTATAGAGGTTAGCTGAGCCCTGCGATTTGTACTCAGCCCAAATCTGCAGTCCTTAACTGGGAGTGGTCAACTTCACATTCAACTCTCTCTCAAAACAGAGACAGAAGAGGACACATGGGGAATCCCTATGGATACTTCTAGTCACTAATCAGAAGTAACAGTGAGAATTTATCTTCCTGGTGGGACTTTAAAAGGAAGTGAAGGGACGCAGGGTCTCCATAGGCCAGAGGTTCACCTCTCTCCACTGATCAAAACTGTTAAGTATTTGGCACAGTGGGTTCCAAACTGACTGGATAGTTTAGTGAATTGGATATCAAGCTGTGCAGCCATAGGCTGAGAATTTAATTCCTCAATATGCTTCCCAGAACAGCCAACCTGTGTAGCTTCTGGGAAGCCGCACATTCTCAGAACATCCACAGCAGAAGAGAATGGTAAACTTCTGAGTACTCTGTACTAAGAAAACACTGGACAGGGTTGCCTTGTCAGAATTGACTTCGTGGCACATAATTATTATTAATTACAGCAGATCCCACTGTGTGGCTGAGTATATATATTTGAACACACACACACACACACACACACACACACACACACACACACACACACATGTCCTTTGAGATGGTGTATAACTAAAAAAATATCAACAAATATATCAGTACATATATTTGTATCTATCTAGTTCTACTCTACTCAATATAAACTTGTTATGTGTGAGTTACTATATGGCATTACGGTGAGCTCCCTGGGAAACATTTTGCAGGGGAGCCCTGCAACATTGCTGAATGAAAAGCACCTTTGTTCTGATCTGAGCTCTCTTAATGATGTTTGGTGTCACTGAAATTATGTCACGATGTCAGCGCTAATAGATTTAAATGACCAATGATACCAGCACACGTTGCTTTCAAAACCAGACATCCTCTTTGCCGCCTCCCACCGCATTCTCCTACGAAGACACTGAATTTTGCATTTCTTAGGAGAGAACAGTATGGATACTTACAGGGAATTTAAGGACCGCAGGCCCTGGAAAGAATCTGGTGCTGCCTCTGAAATCTGATTATTGCTCAAATCACTAAAATGAGAAGTAAGATCATAATGTATTAATTCAGATGCATGCTTCATGCTGTTAGGCTTCATTATCAAAGAAAGCAAGCTATTTATTTAAATCTTCTAATACACAGCATTATAATTTATAATTATAGTATTTATAATTATTGAGACAATTATAAAATCTAACCAAACAGTTTTTCACAGTACGAAAACACTTATAGTTCAACATGCTACCCCTTCCAGAAATAATTGCTTAAATGTGTACAATAATTTGAAATGTTAATGCATTTTCTATATTTGGGATAAGATCAGATTGTGTGGGGACAATATATCACACTGCAAATGGCATTTCACAGCTATGCTATGCCTTAAAAATAGATTTTAGAAGACTATTTTGTGAACTTTCCTATTTACATATTCATATGAATTTGTGCTGATATGTTGTCATAAATGTCAGTTATTAACATGACAAAGAATTTATGTGGACCCAGCAATCAAACAGAGCCATATCAACTAATCTGTCAGCTGTCAGCCATTCTTGAGTATTCATACATTGATGGAAGTTATTTTGAATAAAACATGACCTGTTTTTTATCCAAATGTTTTTACACAGATTCAAAATATTTCTCACTCACATTCTTCTGAGCTTTTTATATGGTGAGAAAGCTCCAGGGGGGATGGCCTTGATTGAATTTTGCTCCAACCGTCTAGCAAAGAAAAAAACAAATTGAGTACTCTGAAACATAAAACAAGCGGGCAATCTTAAATGTTTGTAATTCATGTCAGTATCGATGAGAAGAAATGCACTTTAAACATGTAGATAGGGATTTTCCTCCTACCATAGTGAAAGATTATGACATGGGAATCAAACACCAGCAATTGTTTTCATTTTTAAACACTGAAGAAACATTATATAATTTTGACATGCAGGTAATGAGTGACAGTTTAAATTAAGCACAAATCAGAATTTAACGGATGGTGTAATATATGGAATATTCTGTATAACATCCAGCAAGAATAGCAAAAAACATGAATATCTTACAGTTCTTATCATAGGGTTTCAGTTTCATGTAAGACTAGAGTAAAAGGTTCAAGCAAGCAATAGGTTATATGGGTCTCATAAAGTTACTCTTGTCCAACTACTATAACAAAACTGAAGTTTCTCCTTTCAAATGAAAAAGCAGAATTCCCTTTCTTCCTGTAATGACCCAGTACAGTCTCTGATCGGTCTCTTGTCATCTGGGTGACTACAGAGTTGTATTTTGAGAGTGAGGGATTTGCTGCCCTATTGGTAAGGTTGGGTCACATGAGAATGACATACATGGGGAGAGAAGAATTGGGAGACATGTCTCGGCTGTTTTATGTTTACTTCTGCCCAGGGGAGCAGATGGAAGTTATATGTATGCTCAGTGTGGGCGGGTCTGTACTTGTTCAGGAAGATATATGAATGGGCAGGTTGTAGGTCTTCCAGAAGCAAATTTCTGTGTCCTCTAATTATCAACACCCCAGGAAAAAGCCCCATTCTCTCACCTCCAGGTGTGGCTCTGGGTAGCTGTATCTTTCATATTGTGAGGAGTCCATCAGAACAATTTGATCTTGTTTGTGGTGGGGTATACCACAACATTATGCTGTTCATGAAGTACAATGTATTATCTCAGACAGCCAAACCTTTCCAATTATAGCAGTAACAGATCCTACATACATTTGACAAAAGGAAATTCTAAACAGATTGCTGAAACTTCCTGACATTCAAGCTGCAAAAAAATTCCCAAAGCAATCACACGAAAAACAATAAAAATACTTCTAAGGTGGCAAGGAAAAAGGAAAAGATCCAAGACAGAGCAAGGAACAGGCAGCAGAAGATTGGGGGTGCTGGGAACTCAAACAAAATAACAAATGTGTAGGGCTGTGAGACAGATGTGATGTTGCAGACACCACTCCCAGAGGTCGACCGCTAGGTAGAAGAGACATGGGGAGTGGGTGCTGCCTTGTTTTATGATGTAGTACATCGCTGTGGTGTTGTCAGTGGTGATCTGTACCATTTTTCCTACAAGAAGGTTCTGAAAGCCTTGCAGGCCTGTATGATGGCTAGTAGCTCCAACTTATTTATGTGAAGCAGTTTTTCTCTGTGATACCATTTGGCGTGGAATGTGAGGGATTTGCAATGAGCCCCCCAGCCAGTGCGACTGGCATCGGTAGTGACATGTATTCATGGGCGAGGCTGTTGGAACAGTCACCCAATAGAAAGGTTGGTATGGGAATGCTACCATTGAAGTTGAGAGGCCAGTTCTGGAATGACTCTTAGGAGAGTGTGGGGAGAGTCTGTTAGTGGATCGAATAGGGCCAGAAACCAGGACTGGAGAGATCTCTTTTTGAGATGCACATATTGTACAACTGGCGTCACAGAGGCCATGGTGCCTAGAACTCATTGCACCATTAAGGCAGGTATCAAGGCATGGAGAGTGAAGCTGCAAAGTAAGGTGAAGAGATTTTGTCTTTTTTCTGCAGGGAGGAACACATGAGCTCGTGTGGCGTCTATGAGTACGCCTATGTAATGTCCTGGTATGTTTTAATTTTGATTTCTGTTTGTTGATAGATAGACCAAGAACACAAAGAAAGGTGAGGGTGAAACAGGTTTCTCATCGAGCTTTGGGAGGGGAGTGTGCTACAAGGAGCCAGTCATTGATATATGGCAAGATGAGAATGTTTTGAAGTCAGCACTTGGTGAACACTCTCAGAACTGTTGCAAGGCCAAATGGGAATCTTTTGAATTGGTGTACTCATGATCCAAATTGGAAATGAAGGAATTTTCTGTGTGTGGGATGTATTGCAATATGAAAGTAAGCATCTCTTAGGTCTATGACAATGAACCAGTCATTTTTTCGAAGTAAGGGAAGAACTAATTCTAGAGTAACCATGTGGAATTTAGTGGTGCTGATGTAGTTGTTTAATAATCTTAAATCTAGAATAGGGTGAAAACCCCTGTCTTTCTTTGGGATGGTGAAATAGCGAGAGAAAAACCCGGTATTGTTTTGATAGACGGCTTGTATGGCATCTTTGAGAAGTAAATTCATTATTTTTTCTTGCAGGGGTTGTGACGGAGGAGTAATGCCATCTTTGATAGGGAACTAGATACAAAATCAGAAAAAAACAAGTAAAAAGAAGAAAAGCACAATTCCAAGAAATTTCTTACAACTGGCAGAAGAAATAAATATTGTATATGCATGGAGAACATGTAATCCAAGGACAAGAGACTATACTTTTTACTCTAATAGGCACAAATCATGGTCAAGAATTGATGCTTGCTGGATGTCAGTAAACTTAATGAAAAAATTGGAACAAATAAATATTTTACCCAATACATTTGCAGATCATAATCCAATTTGTTACAAGTAGGTAGCAGACCAAGAGAATTTAATTGGAAGCTGAATATATTACACTTAAAAATGAAGACCTTTTTTAGTGGAATAGCCATAAGATTTTCAGCAAAACAAAAGAGAGTAAGATGGAAAAAATATGAGATTCTGGAAAACAGACTAGCGACAGAGGAGAGCCAGTTGAAACAAAATCCAGCAAATAAAGAACTGATAGAGAAGATAAAATGGGTACAACACCAGATAAATATATTACTCACCGAAGGAACTGCAAAGAAGTTTAAATTTGCAAAGCAAAACTTTTTTGAGAACGCAAACAAACCAGGAAGGTGGTTAGCATATAAATTAAGGAAAGAGAAGGAGAA